CAGACTATCAGGAGATGTATTGCACTGGGCAAGTTTGCTGTCAGGGACCTCTCCAAAGTAATGAGGACCAGTGGAATTAGTGTGAAGATCAGTGTGTACCTGATTCAGGCCAGGATCTTTTCAATCACTTGCTATGCCTCTGAGAACTAGACAGTGAATAAAGATGGCAAAACGAGACTTGATGTCTTTAAACTGTGATGTTGAAGAAGAGTACTGAATATCCCATGGATTGCCAAAAGAACATATAGATATGTCTTGAAAGAAAGTGCAGCCACAATTTTTCTTAGAGGTGAAGATCACAGTACTTTGTTTCATACACTTTGGTCACATTTCTAGGAGAGGCTATTTCTTGGATAAGGGTATCATGTTTGGAAAGGTGGATGGTCAGTGAAAGAAAGATAGATTGAAAAATGATGAGGATGGCACAGGATAGGGCAGTGTTCACATCTACTGTTCATAGAGTCACTACAAATTGTGCTCAATTTAATGGCAACAACAACTCCCTTTGACCACCCCTTTAAAAAGTCTGGCTTGACTATAAGATCTTTTAAAGACACCTATGCCACTATTTTCTCTCAGATAACCAGTATCTGAATAGAACACATTGAAAAGTTTCAATCTTGTCTCTACTTAATTGACTCCTGGTGACAGGAAGACACATATCTTTTTTTCTGGTTCCGTTACCACCCACACCTTCAATATTTCTAGTCCTTTATATATATATTCCTTGCAAAGAAGATGACTTTGAGAGTCAAGGACACACTTTTAAGTAATGTTTAACTTCCTTTTAGGAAATCATATAAATATATGTTTTCATATGCCAAAGAAAAAGCACATGAATAAATAAAATAATCTCTTCAGTATAAATCCTACTTAAGGAATTGGCTTAATGAGACATGTTATACATTGAAATATATGGAACCTTCACAAATATGTGTTATGACATCGCCATCTCTATGCCTATGGCTGTATTCCCACTTGAGATGGGTTGCTTTTGTTATGTTAATGAGGGAGGATTAGTATGTGAGGGTATATTTTGAGTCAATCTCTCTTGACATGTAAAGGCTTAAACAAGAAAGAAGAGAAGAAGTGGAGCAAGACAGATATTTTCAAGGAAGCAAACATAAAAGCCAAAGATAATCTTCTAGAGACAGTGTTGTGAATTTGGACTTTTAGCCTTCTAATTAATGAGAAAATATATTTCAGCTTGTTGAAGCCATATCTTTGGCATTTCTGTGATAATAGCCCTAGATATCTAAGACAAAATGAAAGCTTTAGGGTCAGACTGTTGTTGTTGTTGTTATGTGCCGTCGAGTCGTTTGGGACTCATAGCAACCCTATGTACAACAGCCCTAAACCGTGCTCTATCCTGTGCCAGTCTCACTGCCCCTGACAAACCCATTGTTGTTGTCGTCATCATCATTATGTACCATCAAGTAACTCATAGTGATCGTATCTACAACAGCCCTAAACCCTGCTCTATCATGTGCCAATCTTATTGTCTCTGACACACCTACCCCCATATATATATAACCTGTTGTTGTTGTTGTTATGTGCCGTCGAGTCATTTGCGACTCATAGCGACCCTATGTACAACAGCCCTAAACCGTGCTCTATCCT